GAGAGAGAGAGAGAAAGAGGGTGCGGAGATGGAAACTCGCTGATTTATTCTCGGAAGGTTCCTTCGGAACCGCGTATATTATCCCTTTCGGCACGTATATCAAACATCAGAGTCGTGTAAACTTAATCTCTCAATCTCGATCACTCATAACTTAAAAATCGACGGGATGCTTTCTTTTTGTTTTACATAGAAAAGAATTCGATTTCGAATTAATAATTGAGAAGCCCGTGAATGTAAAACGTGGCTCGCACGGGACACCCGGTAGAGACAAGTGTGGATGTGTCGCAACACGGTTTAGCGAGGGCAGATAAACGTTTCTCAGGATATACATATTATATTATTGTATTTTGTGCTAGCTTACCACCCGTGACGCGACACGTGAGATAGGGTGTATCGCCTTCCTCATAAGGGCCAGCTGTGCCGTTCAAGATGCGACCCCATCGATCCAGAATGGTTGGCTGCTCTGGCGGAACTGCAATAGAAGGGAAAATTCATATAAGTCGTACTAGTTTCAAGAAACAGAAAGAGACATTGAGAAACAAACGTTGTATTAGTCAAAAATAAATTTTATAGAATAATTCAAGGTGTCAGGTGTTGGAAGGAAGGTTAAATCGGTGAGACCAATTTTTCAAGAAATTTGACATTTAATGTGACTTAACTAAATTCAACTGACTCTTGCTTTGTGACAAACGTTATTCAAACGCGTGGTTTTTGCGTAATTTTGGCGAGAACTGATTGCCTTCATGAATCATACCGGGTCTTATTAAGGTTTCACGAGGGCAACGAACGCTTTGAACGTCGCTTGGATATCAAGGATATTTATGTCACTTGAGTTATGCATGTTACCGTCACTGGCTTCCTGCCTTGCTTCTTTGTGTTCGAAACAAATTCAGCGTATCTGCAACACGGAATACGTAGGCGGTATCGGCGGTACCGGCGTGTAGCTATGATCGTTCGCGGATTAAGCGCGGCGATATTTTTTCGCGGAATATTCGCTCTCGCGAAATCGAAGCGGAGTCGGATAAACCGGCCAGGATATTTCTCTTGCTTTTTTCATTATTTTTGGAAGTTACATGCATACGTCGAACGTATCCGGCATTTTATCAACCGGTGGCGCTCTCCTCTCTTTCTTCGCTGCCCTTCCACCCCCTTCTATCCCCCTCCTCGCGTTTCTCTCCCGCACCTCGCTCTCCTCCTCACCCCGCTTTGTTTAATTCCTTTTTTGTAAATTATGCGCCCTCGGGTAAACCGATTTCTACTTCTGCTCGCTGATTCGGGCTAATTTTCAGCAACTGTAATCGCGCGGATGTACAATATTGACGTTTTATCGATTTCTCTAATTTAAAAACTGCTCCGGTGCTTTCGCAAAATCGCCTCCGATACGCAGTTCGTGACCGGGTCGAATATTACTGCTCGATAAATCGACTAAAGGATTCCGAGCGAGTTTATACTCGATACTGCAAGTCCCTGCCGTTTAACGATACGAGAGAATATATACCAGCCACTCTGACGCGGCCTTTTCTCCCTCGAAACATCACTCGGTTCGCCGCACGGTACTCGTTAGAAATAGAAATATACGTGTATATCTGCTAAACCGTGAAATATTCTACGCAAATTTCACGGTTATTTTACGGACCGGCAATACCAATGTTTTTTTTTTTCTTTTTTCTTTTTTACGACCCTTTTCCTAGGCTCTTCTGGAACTTCGAAGAAAAAAATTATTTAAATCTCAGACGAACTCTTAGCATCGGTGGACTACGAGCGAGTCATACGTGAGTTAATCTACCGCCAAATACGTAATTATACAATTAGATATGCACGAATTCGATATAATTGCTTGTTAATATCACCTCGTCCGTTCATTCGTAAGGAAATTTCTGTGCCGCTTCGCGTTGCTCGCAGCTTATCGAGGGAAGCTTAGCGGCGGCCATTGCGGTGTTTACGCCGCACGAAATGCACGCTGGATGTACGAACGCTCCGGCAAAAATCCTCGAAACAGCCCGAGGATCTCCGTGCCGCATTAAGGGAAATCCCATGTTAAAGAAGAGCGCGAGCGCGAGTTGGCGGTTGAGCGAAATTCCGCTTTTCGGCGGAACGACCGCCGCGTCTGGCGGCTTGAGCGCCGGGCGGATCATCGACGAGGGAAACGATCGAAAATCGAGAACGATAACGTGATCGGGTGTATGATAACGCTCGGCACCCCCGACGAGGGGGCACTTAATCAAACGTTCCCGCGCGTTCCGGCAAATTCAATTTTGGGGCATCCACCATAACATCCTCCCCGTCCCGACGCCTCGGCGGCTCACTCTCGGGCTATCCTTTCACCTCTTTTCTCGTCTTCTTCATCCGGCCATAACCCCCAACCCCTCTCGCTTTCCAGCCATCTCCTCCTCACCCGTGTGATGGCGCAATGCCGCGATGAAATTTTCTCTCTCCCCCTCCCCCCCCCCTCTCCTATCCGCCGCGCCGGTTCCACCTGCCGGAACGTACCTGTAAAGTATTCACGAGGATTTATGGCCGCTTTTCAATCCATAATCGGGGTGTACCCGTGGAAAATAAAGCGTCATCCATCGTGGCCACGCACGTCAGCGTGCCAATCAATCGATGCCCGGCCGTGCATCTCACTATCTCCCTCTCTTCCCCTCTCTATCTTCTCTATTTTTATTTTTGGCCGCGCACTCTCTCGTCTCTTTCTCTCTCTCTCTCTCTCTCCTCTCTCTCTCTCTCTCTCTCTCTCTCTCTCTCTCTCTCTCTCTCTCTCTCTCTCTCTCTCTCTCTCTCTCTCTCTCTCTCTCTCTCTCTCTCTC